AAAGAGGTTCTGAATAACCTCACCATCCCATTATTAAAGCTCAGACATTCTTACTCTAAAGCATGTCACATAAAAAGTATCATCAAAACTCTTCCCAGCACTGGTAACAGAATTGGTCCTGACATTGATTCCTGTTGTCCAGGAGGAATGTCAGTCACAAGGAAGGAGAAGGCTAGCCAAGCTACCTTAGCTGTGTTGGTTTGGCTCTTACTGGTAAAGGTGGTACCATAAAAAATCAGTTCTCCCCTGGGAATTTGAGTATTCATCATAATCACATTTGCATCATATTTACCATTGACCATTGTCCAGTGGAGTTTCTGTTGCTCATCTTGTTATGGAAGTTGGTCTGTCCTCTTTTTTGACTTGCTGTGAGTACTCTGGCTTCATCTCACTTGTATTCTGATTCCTCTGCTCCACACTGTGCTGTTTAGTGAGGGCAACATATGGCCCATGCTATTAGCAAAGAGTTCTGGTGCTTAATGCAACAGAGCCATGAAAAAGGAGTCTATAATCACTACAGGAAGAAATAAGAAACATTTATGCAGGTCACATGAAAGCATTAGGAATTTCAAGCATGATATTGCTATTGCATAGATTCTGCAGACCTCAAAAATATCTCCATAAGCAATCTTCACAGTTGCCAAAGAGTGTTTCAGACTGGGATTTGAAAGCAGTTTTGAAAAAAGGAAAATTGAGCTGGAGTGATTGCCTAGGTCTTCAGGGTGCGCTGTATCTCCAGTGATCTGTGTGCCCTAAGAGTCCTCCACTTGCCCAATATGAAAATAAATTGTTTTTCATTACTCTGCAGAAAAAAAATGATGGTGTCATTTAGACAGAGCTTTGCAAATAAGTGCACTTCATTCTGGCCTAAGCACTCACCTGAGAGAGCATATGTGTGTGTGTGTGTGTGTGTGCGCACGTGTATGTGTTTGTGTGTGAACACAAGCAACTCTTATCAACTTTAGGAACTTTAATACTGTTTAGTTTCTTTGATCTTTCTCAGCCTTTCAGTAGTTTGGCTGAATCAAGACAGAATTACTTCTGACAGAGAAAGTAACCAGACAAAAAAGGACTCTTACGCTGGAAAAGGTGGTTTGTTTTTTTATCTCAAAGAGACAGCTAAGTTCAATTTTTACTTGAAATTTAGATTTAATCTTAAAAGTATGAGTTTCCATGACATCCTAAACTAAGCAGAAATATCTTCTTGCATTGTTTATTCATTTCTCCAAAAGCTTTGTAACCCTTAGGGGATCTCATTTTGTGAATGGGTGTTAAATTCTTTAGAATTAAAAGTGCAACTGACCAGTTATTGTCAATCTCTACTCTAAACAATAGGCCAAAGAGAAAGAAAACAAATATCATTAAAAACTGAAATGCAATGAGTTATTTTAATATTTAAAAGGATATCCAACTCCCACTGAAATCAACAGCAAAACTTTTATTGTGTCCAGCAGAGAAAGGATTCCAGTGATGTAGGGAAAAAAAAGAGCAACTATAATCCCTTCAAAATTAATAAGGAAACAAAATTTTGGAAAAGCAGTTTGTGTTTTGTTTGAATGGTCTTTTAAAATTATGCCAATGACAGCTTAAAGTGTACAGAACTGTTTGGAGAAAAATTAAATTAAGTCTTATCCTTAATGAAGTCACTGTGTTCAGTCTGAATTGTGGTTTCTCAGGAAAAGCTGAATTAATGTTTGTTTTGTTTTATTTTGTATGTCAGTAAGTATGCATGTGTGTCTGCTGCTCCTGGCAGAACTCCTGTGTTCTGCCAGGACTAGAATCTGTAGGCAAGAAAAGCTGTTGTAGCATTTCCCAAAGTCAGGCAATAAATATCCATAGTCTCTCACAGGAGCTTTCCTCCTGAGATTTCCTGACAGCAGAGTTTTAGATAAATGCAGATATGCCTCATACAAGGATCTGAACTTTAGTAAGCTAATGTGAACCAAAACATCTCCAAACTTCTGGCATTCAGTCCCACTAGTTAGTGTTTGCTACATGCATACCTTTCCACCAGAAGGAATCTGCTGCTGTATTTTGCTTCCCTGCTTACCTCAGTTTCTCAGATGGGATGGCATGAGCTGACAATTCCTTCCAGAATCAGACTTTCCATAAGAACGTGGACCATCTGGAGCAATATGGTAAAGAAGCTCTAAGAGCACTCTCTTCTTCCAGTTCCTTTGCAGCATTGCCATGACACTATGCCCCATAACTCATGTGCATCCCTAAATTTAGATTCCACTCAGCACTGGCAGAGCAGTACACTGGTCTTACCATGCCTGATTTCAAGTGCTGCATTGTTAGCATGCTTCTGTTATCTCCCCTCCCACCATTGTCCAAGAGCTAGCTGCTCTCCAATGAGAATAACACAAACATGTTGTCAAGATGGGAGGAGGAAATTCAAATTGAAACACCCCTTTCTTAGTCTTCGTTGAATTTTACTTGGATTTCTACTGGCCTCAGTCCTTCATCCCTTATTAAAAAATAAATAATTCCATCTCAGAGGTTTCTTTGCTTCAAGGGCTGTTCTGTTCAACCCAGCCACTTTATAAGAAAATTATTCTATGCTTCTTTGTATTTTTCACCCAGGAATAATTTTTACCTGAATGTCCCATTCAATAGTACATCACTGCTTTAATTCACAATATTCATGTCCATTGGACTCCTTCTTATACTACATAAAGCTCAGATTCTGCATGGAGTCTACAGAAAAAAAAAAAAAACAAAACTTGACTAAATAAAAATCCATTGCTGGCCTTGTTACACTGATTCTGTCATGTACTCTTCCAGCTGTATATATCCCTGTTTCATTCTTGTAAATGTAGGCTTTTTAAGGTGAGGTCTTTTTGTATTCTTATGTCTCACACTGACCATGAAATGTGGCTCAAGACTAATGCTACTGATGAAAAAATCCTGTTAATTACATTATTGAGAAACAATAGCAATAACAATAGATTTTTCAATAGTTAATTGCCCTTGAATTTCAAATTGTGGTCAATGCCAAACTCTTGAAAGCACCTTGTGTTTCCTTGTGTAACCCACAATTTGTGCATATTATGATCCCTCTCTATGCAGTTGGCCCTTTGTAGTTCTGTAAATGTTTCTTGCTAAAAAAAGTAAGTGCTTTCAATTAACAGATGGGGTTGATATTTTACAGTGCAAGAGACCTGCCTAGGTTCATATTTAATTATTTGCTCTGCATCTTAATTTATCCGTGTACATATCTGCATAGAGCCCACTACATATATTGCTTCAGAAATTGCAAGTTTTGCTGGTGTTAAATATACAGTTAATAGGCAACATTCTAAACGTGAGCTGCTCATATAGAGAGGAAATAAATTTATTCAAGAAATGGCATTACTTCCTTAAGTCAGAAATAGCCCTTTCTATGGTACCCATTTACCAAGTCCATCGTTCTCAGTTAAAGAAGTTTCTCTCAGTGGTAGCTGTGAGAGGCATCAGTGGGGCCAGATGCAGCTGGGATGTGAATGGAAACTCTGTGACTGCTTCTCTCAGACCTGAGCAAGAGTGTTTGTGTTGCATTAGGCAATTGGGCAATTAGTATAATTGGGAAATAGGGGCCACTGTCCTTTAATACTTCTATGTAGTCATCCCACAGAAATTTCATAACAAATATAGACACCTCAAAACTGTCTGGATGCTCTGAATAATGCAACTTGAGAGCTTGATGGAAGAAAAGTATGTCAGTGGTATTAATTGGTGGAATGACTTGGCAATAAAGATTCTGCAGCCAGGGATGTCATCATCTTTGCTTGTGTTATTGGCAGTAAAAATTCCTGTCTATCTTCCATACAAAGCTTCACTTCTCAAAGCTCCATGCCTGAGCTTGTGGTTTTTAAGATGCATATGGCTCTGAACCTTGCTAAGCAACTTAAAGCAGATTTCATGTGGGTTTTCCTGAGCCCCAGAGGCATGCAAAATGCTACAAGTTCAAAGGCAGAAATGGTCTCAGATTAAAGAGAATCTTGTTGTTAGGACTTTAGGCGTACAAATTATTCTCATGCAGCACCTAGCACCATAAATGTAAGAAACCAAAAAAGTCAATCTAACTCTCCAGAACTGAGGCATTCAGAAAAAATTGGACATTACAGAAGCCCCAGCAGCACTTCAGCCTCTAGTTCCTGTGAGTAAAGTCTCAAGGAAGGCAGACAGAAAGAAGCTCTTTTTGTCAGTAAATTACACGCTTAATTTGTTTAACAGTTTTGATTAATTTGGGGAGAGTATGCAAATAATTAAACCACATTTTAGACATTAGAGATCTACATTACATGTAGACATAATCCACTGAACAGTCACAGGTGGCACAGGAAAGTGGTGCTGTTGAACAGCTTTTGTGAAATCTGAAGCTGAAGAGATTTCCATTTTGACCAGACAGGCACAGTCCCTAGCACAAGTCTCTGAAGAAGTGAATCAGAGAGAGAGAGAGAGCGAGACAATAGCAAGAATATTAAAGTATACAAAAATATGAATTTCCAAACAAGTTAGTGTTGGAGGAGAACTACTCTGATGCATGATACACATGCCTAAAAAACCTCACAACACAGATGAATTTGTAGCTTGAAGTGTAGTGTGCTCAGAGTTTCAGCAGGAGGAATTAAGCACATAACTCTGAGAGGAACGTTCTGTAGAACGCATGTGAGAATTTTTTGAAGACAATGACAAGGGAAACACATTGAACAAATCTGTTTAAAGCAAGAAAGAAGTGGAACACATCTGTATTATGCTTAATATTAAAACCAATTGTCAGAAAATCAAGAGAAGTATTATTTGAGGAGACCCTGAATATTGATAAATACATTGCCTCCACAATAGGCAAAATAATTTTATTTGTTAAATCAACATAGACAGACTGTGGAATCCAGGTACTCTACAAATACAGCAATTTTTAAATTTTTTAAATATCAAACACACATTTTTTTTGGTTAAGGTAAAATGTTGTACAAATTTTAATTTTTTTCCCTGTATTTACTTTTTCCATGCAGAAGAAAAGTCTACTGTGGAACCTAGAGAAGTGAAAAGTACGTTGCTTTGTTGTTTTTCTTTATTTTTTCATTATCTTCATGTTAGTTTTATGCAAGGGACAAGAGTATATTTTTTTCTTGTATTTGAAAACATTTCTATCCCTTAAATATTTTTCAATTAAAGAGCATACTCTTGCTTAAGGTTGCTTATGGTTCTATCTTTTGTAAGATAGTAAAACTTGGGTTCTTATCCACATTTGACACACTAAAAGGTCACAAAAAGAAAACTATATTTTCACTAACTATAGCAATACCCAACATCATGCAGAACAAACTGAAACTAACAAATTTGGCTTTTCATGGATGAACAATTAAAAGAACACTTAGATTTGCTACTCTAGTACTGTTATTTTCTTCACCATCAAAAAGGGGATTCATTTCCCAAAGGAAAAATAAGAATTATAACTTTCTCCTATCCTTTACCAAACTCTTAATTTTCTAATTCAGAACATTCATAAGTAATTAAATTGTTTTAAAAAGGAAAAAAATATTCTCCTTATTTCTACTGTTACCTAAATAGCTGCCAAATTAGAGGCAGATGCTTTTGAAATAATGTCATATTGTAGGTGGTGCTTTAACTTTCCATGAATAACAGAAGTCCTGTAATGACAGTTTCAAAGATTCAATTAATAAAAAGTGTTATAAAGGAATATTGTATATGCAGGTTTTTTTGTGGCATTCTACACTTGTTCCCAAGTACCATGTGCAAGTTTTGCTGTCATTCTATCAGGTCTTACAAAAGAGGCAGAACAGGTGCATGGCTATTGAGTCACCACAATAAACTCTTAGTTACACCAGGTTAATGGGCACAGTTTCCTGATTCCTGAGCATTTAAGTAATAATCTGGTGTGCATGTTTTTTCCAGTTTTATCCTTAGCACCACATTCACTCTCTGGGTATTAAGCTGTATTTCTGAGCTGCTGGTAATTAAGTGACCAGCTTATCAAATCTTGAACATATTTCAGTTAGTGGATTTCCCATCCCAAATACATATATACATGCATACATAAATACATTTGTGTGTTTCTGCGTAAAAGTAGCCAGCTGAACTTCAATTTCTATTTTTAGAGAAAAAAGAGGAGAAGAAAAAGAGTGATGAAAAGAAGACTACAACTGAAACTAAGATGAAAGGTATAGTTTGGAAACATTTCTTACTGGCCTCATTCAGCTTTTACTCACATTTCTGGCTCATTTCCTATTGCTTTCTGTTAGGTTAATCCTATGCTTCTGTGTGTATTGTCCTTCTCTGAGTTGCTCAGTCACTTTTTGCATTTGCATGTTTCCCATTCTTCAGCATCTAATGTCTAATGTGTTCAGCACCCAATATTTCCTAAACCCATTTTAGACAAATTAAATGTCCTGTTTGGTGGCCATCTATGGCCATCTTGGTGGGCTTTGTAAAGAGTTTAATGCTGTTACACTGCACTACACAAAACTCATGGAAGATATCACTCAATTCATGGCATATCAATTTCTGAAGGTGGGGTAGATCTATTTATTTTTTAGAATCACAACTGGAACTTACAGTGACCAAACTGCAAAGACATGGTATCCATCTAAATAATATTTTGATCATGCATTGTCAGAAAGAATCTAAAATCCACTAAGATGTTGCCTCATTCAAAATATTTAAGTCATTTATTATTTTTTAATGATCTCATTGTTACTGAAACTTAAGCTAAAAGGTGCCACATTCATGCACTGATGATTTTTGCCTAACTTTTGATGAATTACTAAGGGTCAAAATCATCCACAGTTGAGGCATACTGATTAATTTTCATTTTCAGCTGATTGCTCATGGCAAGTTGGGTGCAAGTGCTATAAGGGAATAATCTGAGCTCCCAAATAAGTCACTTTTTTCAGTATGAGCCCACCAGGACTTGGTTGACTGCATATTTGAGTGTATGATTCAAAGTTCTAGCACATCAAATTACTCTCTTTAATTAAATCTTAGAAAAAACAGGAAAAAAGGAGAAAGCTCATGAGAAGACAGCTGTCCCTGAAATTAAAAAAACAGGTAAGAAATTGAACTCTGACTTTCTCTGAAGTGATATCTGACTATTTAGTGTAAGCACTTTCAAGCTTTAAGCATTTGAGATAAGGGTGTATGTATTTCATTATAATTCAAGAATCCAAGTGGAGATATAGCTAGATAGATACAGATGTATCACAGTATATATATATATATGCATTATGTCTGTATTATGTTATGTTATATTATAATATTCATATCCATATATTTAATACATGTAATTCTCTGTTCTATGATCTTGGGACTTTTTCAAATATAATTATTTTTTAAATAAATATCAATATATTTACAAATAAATTACAAACACTCTTTTCATTCATACACTAAATTTATCAAGAGCATAATTAATTTCAAAGGCTACATGGCAGAGTCTGAATGGAAAGCATGTATTTTTCCATGAATAATTTTACAAATACAAATCATTTTAAGAAATAAATGGAAATATTACCCTATCAAACTACTAAGTGTGGGAGAAAATAGATGGTTATTGTCTGAATTTTTACTCATGCCCAGAAAAGAAATTTCTAAAAGTTAAAGTTATATTAATATGTTAAACCTAATTGATTTTTTCATGCATAAAAATATAGATATTTCAATTAGATTAGAAATTAGTAATTTGGGTCTTGTTACACTAAAAATGATGCATTTTTCTTCCTCATTATTCCAGTAAATCTGCAAGTATATTTAATGCAGAAATGGGAAAGTATCTCCAGTAAGTGACACAGCTTGCAAAACTGTCTCATTAAAATCAAGGAGAAACAAAATGCTCAGTCTAGTGGTTGGTCACCCTCTGAATACCTAGAAACACTGATTCCAATTGATGCTTTATCTGTCACTTTCTATATAACATTCTACAAGCCCTCAAGTACTCCGATTAACCTTTCTGTAGATTAGTGTAATGCCTAAAGCCATGGAGAAAGGTTCAAAATGGGATGATATTCAGGGCTATATTTACTATGTCCTCAAGGCAAGCCTTGTGCTCTGTTTTCTAATTATTTAAATCTGTTGCATGCTATCAAAAGCTGAAAGGCTCTATATCCCATTGTTTACTAATATTGTGGGTTGCATATGCAAATTTCAATAAGCAACTGGTTTCTTTGCCACTGAATCCTATCTGGTCTGCATAATTTTTCCTATTCAAGTGTTTATGGATGGGAAGAGAAATAGTAATTTATGTTTGGGAAAATATAAAAATGCACAAGTTACCTGGAACAACTATCCTAGTAGCCCCATATTTAAATATGTATTTTATAGTAGAGAGTTGTACACACTGGGGAAGGGATAGGGATGAAAGAGAATATTCTTTTTCTAGTTAAGTTGCATATTTTAATGTATAAAAACAGCTTTAAAAAGAACATAAGCTAACAATTCAAATACCTTTTGTAATTTTTTTCTGGTTCTAAGCTTTTATTTCACTTGAGAATACAGAATTGTAAAAGATTACATTTTACGGCAGAGCTGCAGCCTAAAGTTATTAATATGTTCATCTTCACAAGCAGTTGCTAAATCCAGTGAGTCATCCTACCAATGCTAGAAAGACACAAATTAGACAAGCCAAGATATCTGCACTTTTCTGTCACTTTTATTAGCTCTGTAGTTTGCTTCATTTTTGGAGTTGCTTGCCTTTGTGTAAGAGGATGGTAATCCATAATGTATTCTAGATACAGGTGTTGCTGTTATTCCTCTTTCAGCTTGTTCTTTGAATGCATGTGCACTTTCTACCTTTGATTGGCAGCACCCATTGTTATCCCTAAAATGTTTTGAGCCTGAAATAATTGCTATATTTGATCAACAGAACAATAGTTCATAGTCCAGTCTTCACATCAGGCACCTCGATGTCTGACAGTCTTTACATAATTTGGACAGACACAAAAAATCAACCTCTGAGCACTTGAATCAGCAGAATAGATAAGCATCCAAAAGCAAAGAACAGCTTCCAGTTTACTTAATTTTTCCCTTTAAAAGGCTAGACAGAGGCCATTGCATTAAAAATAATCTCACCCTGGTTTTCAAATTCTTGCATTTCCTCTGAATGCCTCTGATTTGTGTCTCATTTTGCTTGCCATGACCTTTACAATCCATGAAGCTGAGGTGTTTTCAGGGCAAGCTGCCCACACTCATCCCCACATCAGTGGGCAGCTCCTTCTGCTCCGAGGTCCTCCTGGCACCCAAGGCCCACTGCTGCTCCACACCCTTGCACACTTTCTCCCAGAAGACTCATCTCTGGCTGGAGACCTGTTAACCAGGCATTCCCCATAGAGGAATGGTGGCATGTACAGCCTGTCAGGCTCAAGAGAGAAAGAAAGAGGTGCTCTGAAAGCACTTAAGAGATAAAAACATCTCTAAACTAATGTGAATGCTTCTGAGAGAAGCACTTCTCTATATTCCTCTCAATCTCTCTTGCTCTAACAAGAAATGCTTGTAATTGCAAATACTGCATATATTTGCAGATTAATATTTTAGGTTGTTCCTTTGGTCCAAGAGACAATTTTATCTCTACTGCTACCAGAATGGAGGTTTTTTATAGCTCTTCATTAACTGTATTCCTGTGATATATTTGTTTATTTGCATGCCGGCTCACTCTTTTTCCAATTCTCTCTCCCTCCATTTCTCACTCTTTCTCTCACTGTCCCCCACTCTCTGCTGCTGCAGAGGATCAAGAGTCATCTAATACGAAATGTTCTCTGTCTTTAGTACAGAGCAAAATGAATGATTCTTAATTAGCTATTAAAAATGCATTGTAGATAAAAGCACATTAATCCTCTGACCTTCAGCTCATACAAAAGCATTGTGTTAATTGTCCTGAAAAATAGATAATTCCATTGTTACAAACTCAGAGGTTTAACTTAAACAAACATAATCATCAGACACAAGGGTCTGGCACAGTCAGAATTCATAACCTTTTACAAAAATCTACCCAGTGCTACTCTGGATAAAGAAGGAGCTGCATCTCCAAATCCTCCTTAAGGGGCTTGCTAAACCTTGGCAGATATAAGCCTTTGCCAGGCTCTCACAAAGTTTTTCCTGGTGTTTGGGACACACCAGCCCAGGGGGCTCCAGTCTGCAATCTGACTGAGAAAAGGGTCCCTCTGTGTTATAGCTTTGGTGTCCAACCCCACATGAAAATGAATATACAGCGACTGGTGCTTTCAGGCACTAATAGTTTTCTTGCAGATTTTTTCCTGATGGTCCCTTTCCCAGAGGCTGGAACTTCCCTGCTTCTTCTTGAATCAGCTTTCCTAGAAATGATATTCACACCAGCCTTTGTCTTTGACTGTTGTAAACTCCTTTCCCACACTGTTTTGCTTCTCAAAACAAATCACAGGGGTAAAATGAGTTTATAAAGCAATAAAAATGTCAGCCTGGATCATCATACAATTTCCTACTTAAAATTCTGCTTCAGATGTCATTAATGATCTTCCTGTTATTCTTACATTTTTTTGATAACAAATCTTATAACTGCTTTAGAAAGATAGTGTCTTTTTCTCTACTTTCCATATGGGGAAATTCAGGTACAGACATGCAATCCAGGCCAGTTGTCCACATATTTATCTTCTGTTTACACACATCTTCTGAAAGCTAAACCAATGCTAGCTGGATTAGAGATCCCAAATTTTTGTATACTTTCACTATTTCCCTCGTGATAAACCAGAGACATCAGACAATGCAGCTGATGTCTAGGAATAAAATGGTTTGGCTAAAATCATATAGCCTTATCAGCAGGACAAGTGCAAGAATCCCTGGGTTCTGACCTCGGTGACAAATGTTTTAAGGTCATCACACATCACACCTCTCTGAGCAGTTCTGGTGTGCAGATCTATTCATCCCAGATCAGGGAGCATGACCTGACTTCTATTTTGTCGTGTTGGTATCTGCATGCTCCCAACAGAGCCTACAAGCCCTACAAAACAGCATTGGAGCTGCTCCATAAATAAAGGACCTAGCTTGCAGTGGTTGCACATCCATTTTTTGGATGCATCTACCACACAATCACAGAATCATTCAGGTTGGTAAAGACCTTTAAGATTATTGATTTCAACTCTTAATATAGCACTTCCAAGTCACACTAAACTGTATTCCTACACATTTTAATATCTTTTAAATACCTTCAGAACTGGTGACTCAATCTTTTCCCTGGGCAGCCAGCTTCAGGGCTTGACCAGCCTTTCAGTGAAGAAATTTTTCACAATATCCAATCAAAACCTCCCTCCTGTCCTATTGCTTGATATCTGAGAGAAGAGACCAACACCTGCTTGGCCGGAACCTCCTTTCAGAGAGTTATAGAGAGCAATAAGGTCCTACCTTGAGTCTCGTCTCCTCCAAGCTAAATAATCCCAGCTCCCTCAGCCACTCCTCATAAAGTTTTTGGTCCAGACCCTTCACCAGCTCTGTCTGTGTTCTCTGAACACAGTTCAGTACCTCAATGACTTTCTTGAAGTGAGGTTCCCAAAACTGAACAGAGTTTTCAGGTATGGCCTCAGGAGTGCCAAGCACAGAGGGACAGTCCCTTACTCTTGCTGGCCACACTATTGCTGGTGCAGGTCAGGATGCCATCAGCCTGCTTGGCCAGCTGGACACATTGCTGGCTTTTGTTCCATTGGCTGCCAACCAACATCCCCATGTATTTTACTGCCAATCAGTTTTCCTGCCACACTCCCAACAGCCTGTAGCACTGCATGGGGTTGTTGTGACCCAGGCACAGGACCTGTCACTTGGCCTTGTTGAACCTGATACAATTGGTCTTGGCCCATCAATCCAGTCTGCCCAAATCCATCTGCAGAACTCACCTGCCCTCCAGCAGATCAACACTCTTGCGCAACAGGAGTGGTTTTGTCCACAAATTGACTGAGGGGTACTTGATCCTTTCATCCAGATCATCGATAAAGATATTATTATGGCAAAGACATATCTATGATGCATGATACCATGTCATATGTTTCACACCAGGCAGTGTTAGCAGAAGAGGGGAGTGGTGATGTCTCTCT